TTTCGTTTCTTGGGTTTTACAGATTCACGGTGGAGTGTGAGGGTTTCACGGTGGTGAAATGAAAAGAAAAAAAACCAACATAGCTTTTAGTGTCGTTTCCCACAGACGGCGCCAAATGTTGATGCACAAAATTCAGAGGATCTTGGACCAACGTAAATCCAGCCATGAATCACACAAACGCTCAAGAACACAAAGATGTATCGTGGTTCACCCCCAATTTTTGGGTTACGTCCACACTGATATTGATTCCATTTCACTGTATGAATGTATGGATTATAGTAGATCGGCAAGGGAGCTCTCTGTGGATGCAGCCTTTGCCATTTTGCTCTCTGTTTGGCTGAGAGGGTATTGCCCTCTATATTGTAATGAAGCTCTGTTTCCTTTCTAGTGAAGGTGAGGCCCCCTTTTATAGAATAAAGGTTTCCTCCCTTCTTACATAAACCATGGGCTTAGGGATGATGCCCAAAGACGAGGCCCAATATATGGTACCAACAAAACTCATATTACAAAATCAACAAAATAGAGTGGAAAAGATGACCTACACTTTTAACGCTTGTTGCAGGCCTGGGACTTCCCCTTTGTTTATCATCATTTTCTATTCCAGAACTAAAGTTTCGAAAACCAAACAATCTGTGAAATAATTAAAACTTAGCACAACGCAAGCATGAAATTCATATTCGGAAAAACACTTAATTCCCCATGCAACCACTTAAACCAATTAAACTAGTTCAACAGAACCGCTTTCCACAACCACTTCGAAAATCAGCAAAAACAAAATCGAAAATTCAGAGCTATTTCTCAAAACATTAACTCCCACAACTTCAAATTATTCCGAGCCGAAAACCCTTTTCAAAACCCTAGAAATCACATATTGGAGGTACTTAATCGTCGTAGGGTTTATGCTGACACGAATTGAAGCATCAGAGAAAGGGTAGCGGTGAGGGAGTTCTAAAGAGAGAAAGTGGTTCGGAGGAGGTGAAAGAGTATGACTTTTAGAGAGAGAACAAAAGAAACGACGGTGAATCAGACTTCCACGTTCCCACCAGTCATCTCCCCTTCATCTCAGGAACCAAAAACATTAGTTGCATGCCTCGATACGTCACAGTTTTGGCGAGGAGAGGCCTTTTGGTTGGTTTGGTGGTCCATCGCACCAGCTAAGTCGCGGGAAGAAGAGCGAGAGGGAAGAGAGAGAAGGGAGAAGGAAGAAAAAGAAAAAAAAAATTACAGTATATAAAAAATTAGCATAAAAATACGAGGGCAAAATCACAAGCAAACTGTGCTTATGAATAATGATTCAATTGATTTTTAGTTTTAGTAGATTGAATTTGTTAAGGTCCATTGGAATTGGAATAGTTCCTTTCCGGAAATACCATCAACCAATTCAAAATTGAAGTTCAAATTATACAATACAGGGACTCATTTGAAAATGTTTTAGTAAGAAATATTTCTTTTTATAATAAATACTTTCGCTATAAAGGATGAAATAACATATAATTTCTCCTTTTTATTTTGTAAGCAAATTAAGCTAAAGACAGATCTGATCTCTACAAAAACCTATTGCATAAACTGATTCTTTCTTTTTTTTTCTTTTTTATTTCCTGTTCTCTTTCCTTCAGGTTTCCCCTATCTTTGCACTGTAAGAAGAATGAAGTAGAAAATAGTGGTCCAAGTGAAAGTAACTAATGCCACTTGTCAAGAGACTACAAAGGCTGGCATATTAGTTGGAATCTTAGTTGTTAGAGATATAGTTAGGGAATAAGGAGATAGTTGGTTGACATAAGGTGGTAGTTAAAAGGAGGTTACTTTGTAAGATTGAGTTTTTAGAAACACTTATATAAGTGTGGATTGTAAAACAATACAGTAAGGAAAAAACAAATACATTTACATCTATCATTTTCTCTCAATATTTCATACAATTTTCTATTCTTCTAAAGTTCATACATTCTACATCAATGTCAAGTCTCTACATCATTAGATCTATGTTCATCGATCTGCACACCATGTTTAGAGGGCAAATTTACCAAGTTACCATTTAATTTTCCTGTACACAAATCTATCATACCATTAGAAAAAATACACAGTGATGTATGGGGACTTGCCCCTTTACTTTCTTATGAAGGATTTCGGTATTATGTAACCTTCATAGATGATTGTACTCGATAAACATGGATTTTTCCATTACGAAATAAATCAGAAGTGTTTGCAACCTTTGTTCATTTTCATGCCTATTTGTGTACCCAATTCTCTGCTATAGTTAAAGTCTTTCAATCTGATGGGGGTGGTGAATTTACAAGCACTAAGTTTCAACAATATCTATCACAACATGGTATTTTACATCAAAAATCTTGTCCTTACACACCTAAACAAAATGGATTGGCAGAAAGAAAACATAGACACATTGTAGAAACAGCAATTACACTTCTTCAAACTGCAAAAGTGTCAACCCAATTCTGGTTTCATGCATGTAGTACTGCTTCTTATTTGATTATTAGGATGCCTTGTGCTACTTTACATATGCAATCACCATTTCAAACACTATACAACAAAGTCCCCAATATAAAACATCTCAGAGTTTTTGGCTGTGCATGTTTTCCACTCTTAAAACCTTACAACACTTCTAAACTTCACCCTAAAATTGCAACTTGTGTGTTTCTGGGATATGCATGTCAATATAAGGGGTTTATTTGTCTTAACATTGCAACTAGTAAAATTCTTGTGTCTAGGCATGTATTATTTGATGAAAATAGCTTTCCATATTCCACTTCCAGTATGTGTCAACCATCAAAATTAGTGTTTACCTCATCTTCATTGAATGAATCCCATGCTCATATCCATTCCTCATGTGTCACACCCATCATTACATTAACCAATCAAGCATCTACACCTTCATCTCATTCATTATCATCTCGACCTACAAACTCTTTGTCTATGCATTCATCTAGTGCCTCAGATTCTTTGTCTGCCTCCAAAGCCTCAGATTCTTTGGAAACAGTTGCATCTAGTGCTCCAGAATGTTTTTCTTATCCCACAAATCATATTTCTTCATCACATATATCGTGTGATCCTGCAGTCAACCCAACCAGCTCCACAACACAACACCCTTTCCCTGTGGATCCTGACTTTCAATAGGAGCAACTAAGTGTTGTTCTCCCAATACCAATGAATATACATCCTATGCAAACCCGATCTAAGAATGGGGTGTTCAAAAAGAAAGCTTTTACTGCTACTATTGCTTCAGAACCCAAAACATTCAAATCTGCATCTCAAGTTTCAGAATGGCAGGTGGCAATGCAAGAGGAAATAGATGCCCTTCACGCTCAAAAGACTTGGTCTTTAGTTCCATTACCGCCTGATAAGAACTTAGTTGGATGCAAATGGATTTACAAAATAAAGAAACATGCAGATGGGTCAGTGGCAAGGTATAAGGCTAAACTTGTGGCACAAGGGTATAGTCAAGATGAGGGTGTTGATTACCTGGAGACATTCAGTCCTGTTGTTAAACATACAACTATAAGACTTATTTTTCCTTTGGCTGCTCAATTCAAGTGGTCTCTTAGACAGCTCGATGTAAAGAATGCTTTTTTACATGGCATACTTCAAGGGGAAGTTTATATGGCCCAACCTCCAGGCTTTGAAAGTGCCTCACATCCTTCCAATTATGTGTGTAAGCTCCAGAAGTCATTATATGGATTAAAACAGGCTCCCAGAGCCTGGAATGAGAGGTTTATCAGTTTTTTACCAAGTCTCGGGTTTCAAGTCTCTCATGCAGATCATTCATTATTTGTGCAACAGTCTTCAAAGGGGACAATGTTATTACTCTTATATGTTGATAATGTTATTCTCACTGGTAGCAGTTCACAATTAATCGATCAGGTCGTCCACGCTCTCACTCAAGAATTTGAAATGAAGGACTTGGGACAGTTGCATTACTTTCTGGGATTGCAGATTACTTATACATCTGAAGGCTTATTTGTATCACAGACAAAGTACATCACTGAGTTGGTTGATAAAGTGGATTTACAGGATTCTAAACCATGTAGCACATCATGTCTACCCTATCACAGGTTGATTAAGGATGATGGACAGCCTTATCACAGTCCTGAGCAATACAGGAGTGTTGTTGGTGCACTTCAGTATCTCACGTTCACAAGACCTGACATCGCATTTGCAGTTAATCAGGCTTGTCAATTCATGCATAATCCTATGGTTTCTCATGTCCTTGTTGTTAAGCGAATTCTTCGATATCTCAAAGGTACATCATTTCAAACCAGGCCCCATGCATCTGCAATCTTATAGTGATGCAGATTGGGCAAGTGATCCAAACGATAGGAGATCCACTTCAGGTTTTATTGTGTTTCTTGGTTCAAATCCTATTTCGTGGGCGTCGAAGAACAACATATTGTGTCTCGATCTTCCACAGAAGCTGAGTACCGTGCTCTTGCTATTACAGCTGCTGAACTTGCTTGGATTCGACAGCTCTTTTGTGATATGCATATCTCTTTACCTTTTTCTCCCATGATCTATTGCGATAATATCTCTGCTATTGCCCTCTCTACAAATCCTGTGTTCCATGCTAAGTCAAAACACATTGAAATAGACTATCATTTTGTTCGGGAGAGGGTCACTAGTGGAGATCTTCAGGTTCAGCATGTTTCATCTGCTGATCAGTCTGCAGACATACTTACAAAGGGTTTGTCTACACCCTTGTTTCAGCAGCATTGTGCCAATCTAATGCTCAGTGCTCTCGAGCATCATATTGAGGGGGGGATATAAGAAGAATGAAGTAGAAAATAGTGGTCCAAGTGAAAGTAACTAATGCCACTTGTCAAGAGACTACAAAGGTTGGTATATTAGTTGGAATCTTGGTTGTTACAGATATAGTTAGTTGGAATAAGGAGATAGTTGGTTGACATAAGGAGGTAGTTAAAAGGAGGTTACTTACTTTGTAAGATTGAGTTTCTAGAAACACTTATATAAGTGTGGATTGTAAAACAATACAGTAAGGAAAAAACAAATACATTTACATCTATCATTTTCTCTCAATATTTCATACAATTTTCTGTTCTTCTAAAGTTCATACATTCTGCTATCTTCACATGCACCACATAATTCATGACAAAAGCAATGAACACAACGTTCTTATTTTCGCTATCGCCGATGCCCAGCGACACGTAAAAGTATCCGATAAATGGATTGCAATTCCTCAACTTGGACTTTCTGCTTGTTCTACCACTTGATTTTTCCCTCCAGGCAACCACTCTTTTGGCCTAGAGACCATCCACGTTCGCCCCCTCTCCTTATCCTTTGACAATTATGTACTTACGTTCGTTTCGCATGTAGTCAGCTATTGCAACTAATCGGCAAAACTTCATTAAGACTCGGCAATCATCTTCAAAAACACATCGTCACGATCATACTGATCAATGCTTGATGAAAACTCGCTCATGGGCCAAAAGGAATCGAATGCCATCAGATCATCATGCGACAGTAGATAATCACTTGGTGACGAATGGTTGTTGTGGCTTGTCACCGTATGATCACTTGTTGCCTTGACGATCAGTTCTTCTTTAACTGATGATGAAGCGAAGGATGTGAAGTGCTCTTGTTTGTTTTCCAAACAGTTGGCGTTGTCAAAGCTAATGAATTTTGAGGAATCTCTAGGACTAGTGCAATCCAAGACCAGTTCAGAAGCTTTGGGGTAGTCTCTGCACGTGTGGGTGCCATAATATGTGGTTCGAAACACTGGTGGATGATCTTGAACTTGTTGCACTTGCTTGGTTGCTTTGCACGCTTGATTGTATTTGTGAGTGCATCTAAAGTAGTTCCTGCATACATATAACATAAATATGGTCAACTTTATTTATTGAAGTTTGTTACAATTTTACAAGGTAAATCGTTCATGTACCTTGGATGCTTGGCATTGTGGATAACTTTCTGTCCGTACTTTCTCCATGCATGACTGTCATCAATGTTCGAAGCAGGAGTGTCTGTAGTCCAAGAGTGAAGCCTTTCTGCAAGGAACAAGTTGCAACTCTTTCTTAAAACTTTTAACATTAAATTAGGAAAAATTCCTATCTATTTTTTTTATTTTTTTTTATTTTTATAAAATGTACGGTTAACGTTAAGTGGTAATACTGCCATGGTAAGAAGGATACAAGTGAGACATTTAGATCATTAAATATAACGAACAGTAAAAGCATCAAAATTTTGTCAGAATATGGCACAACGTGAACATATGAGAGCAAGTGGTAGTCTTCACTCTTTTGTTTCAATAGAAATTCTATGCATTATTAAATAAAAATATATTAATTATATTCGTTCACAGGAATCAACAGCGGTTGTGAGTAAATTAATTGTAATTATAGTTGTTCACACATCCACATAATCTAACAACTATTATGAACAAATCAATAAGGAACAACATAAGCATTCAAATTTTGTCAGAATATGCTATAAAATGACATATGAGAGCAAGTGGTAGTCTTCAATCTTTTGTCTCTACATAAATTCTATGCATTATTGAATAAAATAAATAAATAAACATATTCATCCACAGGAATCCAATAGCTATTATATGAGTAAATGAATTATAATTATAGTTATCAACAGGAATCTAAGAACTATTATGAGCAAATTAATTACAGCTTTCCTTATCACACACAAGTGGGATGATTAATTGTCAAAGTAAAAAACTCTTACATTTCATACACAGATACTTGAGATTGAACAATCAAATAATCATACATGGAAAAATTCTTTAACTGAAAAAAAAAATCATTTGCAACAATATGTTAATGAAGATGTTGATGAATATTACCTAGGTAGTAATTAATTAGAGAAATATAACTAATTACCTTCTCTTGTAGGAACCTCTTCGATCCTTGAAGGTTGAAGTGCTCTTACAACTGATCTCCTCCTCATTATAATCTTCAGACTTAATATTAGCTGCATGATCATGATTAGCATCCCAAGATGATGAATATGCACCACCACCACGACCGTCACTAACACCAGTACTACCACCACTGACTCCACTACTATTTCCTTGAATCTGATCAGAAACAAACTCCTGGTCAGACTCCTTCCCATTTATAATCAAAAGGGTATTCACAAATGACCCCAAAATCTTATTAACAATACCTTCAGCCGATCCCCCATCATCACCATTAACAACAAGTGATCTATTAGCAAAAGCCTTACTAAGTTGACTTGCCAGTTCACGCCCTTGGATCAACTCCTCCACCACCCTCTCCCTATTTGAGAGCACACTTTCCGGCCAAGACCACTCCATTTATCCTAATCTCTCCTGATTAGCAAGTAACTAATATAACGATTAAAAATTAATTGATCTCTCTGTGTTTCTGTGATGGTTTGCGGTATGCTTAGCTGTAGCCAAATTTCTGGATGGGAGGTATCCTTTTATACACGTCAAAAGGAGCCCTCCTGGTCAGCTTACAATTCAAGGAAGGAGAAGTGAAAGTCCATGAGACAATCCGACACACTCCCCGCCTTTGACGTCTTTCCCACCAACGGCTGGATGAGCCTCCACTTAAACGATTGTTGTATGTCGTCATTGCATGAGGTAACCCTAGCGTCATCAGCCACTGGTTCCTACTTGGCCTTGTCTAACCCTCTGGAAATTTAATCATTTTTATTTTGCTAACTTTATTAAACGAACAATTTAAATGTCTCAAGTTGTTATTATTTATCTTATCCTAATCAATCCCATCTCGTCCCAGTTGGACCAGATAAAAATTTTGGCCAAAATTACGATAGTACCCTTAGGGTTTGTTGATAAGACGACACTAAGGTAGTAGTTACATCCCCAAGTTCCTTGTTCTACTGTATCTAGTCCGTCCATGCAAGTGTAAACGTGTGAATAAGCTTCATTAGAGCAAAACTTTTTTTATATTATTGTCATGATTCATATACCTTATAGTCATAATTTCAATTCTAAATGTGATCGTATGATAGTTATGTTGATACACAAAATCAGTGAGGACTTTGGTACAACAGAAAATGTTAAGTTTGTGACATTCGCTAGATTGCTCCGGTCACTAGTGTGGATAAGTATGTAAATAGATAGAGACAGGGAAGCAAACACAAGATGTACGTGGTTCACCCAAATTGGTTACGTACACGGAGTAGAGGAGTTCTCATTAATTATGAAGGGTTTACACAAGTACATAGGTTCAAGCTCTCATTTAGTGAGTATTAGTGAATGATTTAGTACAAATCACATTAGGAAATATTGTGGGAAAATGATCTCTTTTTATAGAAGAGAGTTTCTAGCTTTGTTTTGACATTGACACGTGTTGTGTTGTGATTGGCTTCTGATGTTGACACGTGTCACGCTATGATTGGTTTTTGATGTCGACACATGTCACGCTGTGATTGACCTCCTGGTTGGAGGAAAACTCTTCTGGGTCCTTGACGATATAACGTTGACCGATGTTCGGTAGTTTCGAGATTGGTCAAGTATGGTACAAACAAGTTATATAACCTTTTATTATATTATAACTTTTTATGAGGCATCCAACGGTAGTTTAGTTGGAATATTCAAAGTTCATATTGTCAATGTTCAATTTTAGTAGTGGAAAATAGTAATAGATGTAATGTTACATGCATTTATTATAGAAGTGGTCATTTTGCTCCTTTAATTGGATCTCTAGTAATTAGTAATGTAATTATTAAATATGTGATTAATTAGAATTGGCTCAAGGACTTGTAAAATTGTTGATCAAATTTTTGGTGACATATTATGTGTGTGAATACATTCTCATTGGAGAATTTTTAGCATTTTAACTCAATGGCTACAATTCCTACATGTGTTTAATACAATTATTATTTCAATAATCAAATGTAATTATATTAAATACATATATTCATATGAATTATTTAACCGTCGAAGGATGATTGTATTAAACACATGTAAGTATTATATTGATCACTAAATTAAATTCAAATTTTAAAATATCTCCAATCATGCTCTTTATTTTATAGCGAAGTTTTAACTAAAACTATTAAAATTTTATTTTAGGAGTTCTCTGTACTCCCTACTTTAGAAAGTTATAATGACTATGAGTCAATAATTAGCCAATAAAAATTATTTATTTATCGAATTAACTACCATTAATTATAGAGAGCCACTAGGAGCTCATTTCCCCTCCCTGTATTTAAGAGCTCCGAAATGAATTCCTATTTTAAGATGTGGATACATCCCGGCCTGGGCCCCCACCACATCTCGGCCCCGACTCTACCGTAACATGAAATTGTCTGCTTTGGGCCCCGACCAAGCCCTCACGGTTTTGTTTCTGGGAACTCACACGAGAACTTCCCATTGGGTCATCCATCATGGGAATGCTCTCGCGCGAACTCGTTTAACTTCGGAGTTCCGATAGAACCCAAAGCCAGTGAACTCCAAAAGGCCTCGTGCTAGGTAGAGATGAGAATATACATATAAGGCTTACAGGATCCACTCCTCTGGACAATGTGAGATGTCACAGCATAATTACAATTAATTTTTGTGAAATTCTCCCTAAATTCTAGTTAGCATTGAGGGAGATTCATATTTCATCTCTAAAACTTGAAATTAACTTGTAAGCAAGAAAGACAAAATTTATTGGTAACCAAGCCAAAACTCAGTTACAATTCTTTTCATGATCTTGTGAAAATATTCCTAATATCTAAGAACACTACTTACGGTATTCCTAATATCTAAGAACACAACTTACGGTAATGTTAGGTAAATTAATGATTTAGACTAAATTTGTAAATTATATGTTGTGACACCGGTAAGAAATAAGCACGTAAATCAATAGTAACGTTATATAATTTATAAAATTTGATCTAAATAGTCGGTCTTCCTAACATTACCCTTATAATAAATGAGACAACCCAATCTGCACCAGCTCAAGTGCTTTCTTATACAGTCCTTGTAACATCTCACATCGCCCAGGGGAGTGGACATGTAAGCCTTATATGTATATTCTCATCTCTACCTGGCACGAGGCCTTTTGAGAGCTCACTGGCTTCAGGTTTTGTATGAACTCCGAAGTTAAGCGAGAAAGGGGTCAGAGTATTCTCAGGATTGATGAACCATTGGGAAGTTCTGCTTGTGTGAGTTCTCAGAAACAAAACAGTAAGGGCGTGGTCGGAGCCCAAAACGGATAATATCGTGCTACAGCGAAATCGAACCCGGGATGTGGTGGGGGCCCGGGCCAGGATGTGACAGCCCTTGTCTTAGGGGTAATTGCATCGATCTTAAGCAAGATTTGTGAACTGCAATAACAAACGACTTACTAGGTTTTGTTTATGGAAAGAATAAACAATAAAATTATAATAATAGTTAGAGCACTAGCCTTTACTGCACGCATGTGAGTTTAGACAAATGTTTGAGAGATCAAGGCAATGAACCACGAGCATTGTCGAACCAGATGCATCTACGAGTCGTGACCATTGACGTACTTTAATAGTCCAATAGTTCGATAGTGCAATAGTTCAACTTTTGGTATAAGAGCTTAGCGCAAAGCAATGTACAATTTGATTTCTTACAGAAAAATACTAGGGAGGGAGATTACACTTTTGTATTATGTATTTGTGTATAATTTGATGTGATAAGTGATATGTACATGCAGTGTCAATAAATGAATTTATATCACTAAATGACATCACTTGTTAAATGAGATGGTATACCATTATAGTATAAATATATATGTGGTTTCTCTAGCATACTATATCCAATAATTTTAAAATTTTCATGCCTAGTACACCCTAAACCCTTTTGTCACCTCTTTTTTCTGCTACAGTTTTTCTTTTTTCCCCCCCCCTGAACTGAAACGATTCGAATTATCGAAAAGGTATGACAGTAGAAAGTTACCTTCCCTGGGTGAAGAAACAGATAGAAAAAGCCTCCAAAATTCAATTTCAAGTTAAGTTTTACCTAGAATTATGATTGCATTAGAGAGAGTACGTGACTCCAACAATCCTCTTACAATAACAAAGTGTATCTGAACCCAAAAGTCAGCTGTGTTCCCGTCCTGTACGGACTAGAAAATTGGACAAGTTGAAAATATTGCAGTTTGAGCACATTTCTGTTCAAACTTCTAGTCACTCTAGATTACGTTCACACTGTTTATATTTGTTTTTTTCCTGGCAATCAAGTTAAAATAATTTAAGCATGTGTTGCAAGCCACTTTATTATTTTATTATTGGAAGATATGGTTTGTGATATAATTCCAAAAATTGGTCAATGCAAGAGATCATCCATTCGCTTAACCGTGTCTGCTAATTTGATTAGGAATTTTATACAACCTCACCTTTAGGCTTTAGTTGTTAACAGGATCCTATCAGGTCCATAAAATTTTGAAATTGAAGACCCGTTTATAAATGCTTTTGTGAAAAATACTTCTACTTTTAGGATTTCTTTATTTATCAAAAGACTACTTTTAGGGCTTTTGTTGAAAGGATAATAGAACTTTTATTAAAAAATCAACAGTAGTTTATACGCGTTAAATTAAAAAAACATTATTAATATAGTGGTGAGTTTAATAAGTGCGGTCCTTATTTTATAAAAATCAAAATCATCGCATCTATGTATTATACTAATTAACAATAAGGCTCATTTCTACCAAACTCAAATTTCCCGATCCACGCCAAAAAAATCTCTACTAAACAAAGTAAAAGAGTTAATTCACTCTTTTTTTCCGTAAAACCAAATATCAAGGTCTTGTGTCTTTCTTTCCTCACGAAACTCATCCCCCACTAAGAAAATATTATCTAAAATAAAACTCAATTTATTTGTGAAGAAAAAAAGTACTTAAAATTAAACTCTATTCAAATTTTAAACTCAAACATGTATTCTAAAGTACTTTTATAGTCCACTAGTAACTTTAAATTTTTCTTATCATAACCTTTTAGTTTTTGTTTTTTTTGGTCAAATAAACCTTTTAGTTATCCAAAAGCATAATTTTAGTTATTCTTGTCATAAACCCTAGTCCGGACCGTTGAAGAAAAATTGCACAATGTAAGCAAGAGTGAAAATTAGCAAATTAGCAAATCAGCAAAAACAAAAACTGAGATGATACGAAGGATGAAATAACATGAAATTTTCTTCCTTCTTTTTTTTCATTTTATACGTTAAGCTGTAAAAAAACAATATTTATCATTTTTAGCCAAAATTTAGCATCTCAATTCATAAATACCAATTTTTATTAAAAATTTCAAATATAGCAAAAAGACCAAGTAAATAGACTCAAATGCCCTCACCATTGAAAACTGTATAAATGTAAACTAAAAAGAGATGGCCTTTTTTCGGTTTTATAGTTTGAATGTCTGATAATATCCGAATCCCAAACTCAAAAAGTAGAATGAACGAAAAAAGATTGAGCACAAACAACTGTCAAATTCATTTCTTACTTGATAAAGCTACAACATAGGTCATAATGATAATTTCATAGAACAAAATTTCTGCATATTTTTGTGTAACAATTAACTGGTATTTAGTATTAGGGTTTTGACGGCAATGACGAAGAATGACGAAGTTTGATCTCACTGATTGTTTATTTTCTCCCAAGAAAATGAGCTTATAAATTTGACCTTAGCATGGAGCATATACACTTTTTAATCGATTCTATAAAAAAGTAAATTCATATGAAAAAAGTGTCGATTTTTTCAATGCTGCAGCTGACCATATATTCCTTGTTCTATATGTCTGCAACTGGTCCCCGACCTTTTCCATCCCCATTCCTTGCTGAACAACCGTGCAAAAACTTTGAAAGGGTTTTGGGTTCTAAATGGTAATTTGAATTTAATTTAGAGGGCATATAAGCTTATTCAGTTGAGTTTTCTGCTCTAATTGAATTTTTTTTATAAAAACTGACATTTATGAATTGGATGGCCAAATTTTGACTATAAACGATAAAAACCCGTAAAAAAAGGACAGATCTGATCTCTACACCAACCTATTATATACTCTGGTTTTTTTTTCCTTCTGTTTTTTTCTTTCCTCCCTCTGACTCTCTTTCCTTTAGGTTTCCCCTCTCTCTGCACTACATCATGACAAAGCTATGAACGCAACCATCTTATTTCTTCGCTATTGTCAATGCCTGACGACATCTAAAAGTATTCGACAGATTGCTTGAGATTTCTCAACTCGGACTTTATTTCTTCTTTTTTTTCTTCCACCAGATTCCCCTTCCCTACTGTAGTTAGCCAAACAAGTTTTCTGTATCCACCACGCTCATTTGGACTAGACCATCCACCTTCCGTTCTTCTTATCTTTTGACGGGATACTCCGTTCTGTTTTCAAATACTTATGATTTGTTTCGCATGTAGTCAGCTAATGCAACTAATCTGCAGAACGAGAGGAAAGAAACATCAAGTGATGTTATGATTCGGATTTACATGTATGATAACAAGTTGTTATAAAACACAACGTTGATTCGTTTGGACACAAAGACATCAACTCATTGCTCATGAATAGGTTGTTAGGAGTAATAGATCCAATGGTTGTAGTCTTGTCAAGTGTCATAAGATGTAGTAGGCAGTTAAGATTGTTGGTTGCTTATCTTGTAAGCTATACTGTAGTTAGCATATATACCTTGTAAGAAAACAGTTGTAACTAACAAAGAATATCAATACAGAAAATACAGTTTCTTCCTCTCTAAGTTTCTCTCAATTCTCTCTCTTCTCCTTCATTGATCTCTGTCAATCTTCTTTCTCTCTTTCTACTGCATACATGATCCTTGGTTAATATAGGTTAGACAATCAATTTTCTCCCAAATACCAAATAATGAAATAAACCAGTACTGTATAATTATTAAGTTTCATACGATATTTTCAACTAGGGTACCTAGCCATGCAAATTGTTTAAAAGAATGCTCCATCAACAATATCTTATGTATCTTTGAAAAAAAAGCTCACCTTTGATACTTTATAACTGCATTCCGTTGGAAAGCTGCATGACAGACAAACACAAGGGAAGCCATCTCAGAATGAACATTTGTCTCGAAGCCTATAATGCATGTCAACTTGGACTGTCATCTTGCTTTGAGCTCAAATGTTTACGTTGTCTATTTAAAATCTCATCAGCAGCTATCTGAATATCTGAAGGGCAAAAAATATGATTTACAACTTTGAACACAAAGCGAGGGAGCAACGCGACAACCGTTATAAGCAAAATGGCGATCCAATATGTGGGAGACTTTGCCAAATGGTATATAGTCCTGCACCAAAAAAAGAATGTGGGGGACAATCAGCTTAACGCAATAAAACATTATACGTTTCAAAACAGAGAAAGAAAAGCAGAAGTCAACGAATCTAACCAGTAATTAGGAAAGACAGGTATAGAATCCAATACCACCATACAGGCATACATGATTATTGAACCCCATACTGCAATATGAGTGATGGATACCCAACGATGAATGTCCAATGCCAAATGTATGTTGACAAGAACAACAACTGCTATTGTCCATAAACTGCCCATGCTCCTTATGTCTATTGAGCTATCCTTATACGTGAAGAGAGGTACATAGAAGAGAACAAGACTCTGCCATAGGGTGTCAAGCATTGTGATCCAGAAGAGATGTAAATTGTATGCCTCGTGTCTATGGCCCGCACCATAGAGTTTCGGATATTGTAACAGTGTCCTGTGGCTCAAGTCTTTGACGTGCAATACATAATGTATTAATGGTTTCCTTTTTATTTTAATTATAGTGTATATTTTAGTCTTTTACGAATGGTTTGATGAGTGTTATTGACTGGTAAATGCTTTTTATCTGAATTTGGAAGTTTATGGCTTATTTGAGTAGGGATTTGAACTTGTTTGATGTGAGGTGTAATTTGAATGAGCATAGAAAGGTGTCGTCGTTTTTTTCCCTTCCTCCTCTCTTTCCTTTCTCATCACTATCACAATATCAAACAGCTGGTGTGCAACCTTGTTATAACTGAATTTTGTTGATCATGAAAAATGGAAATTTTGACCCCAAGAGAAAAACGGAAAACTGAACTTCGACGTACGAGAAATATTTTTAAATCGAAAAAGGTCAAAAAAAAAAAAGGTTAAACCAAAACTTAAATCCGACCTGCCGGTGACCTAAGGATGGCTGAGAGCATATTACCCCCTACAGTCGTCCGCTTTACCAACTCAGGCAAGGCAAGGTCGGATTGCTGTAGATTGCATGGGATTTGGTTTCCAAATAGTGATAGAACATAATAGTGCAATGTGGCAAAAAATTAGCAAAATGGGAATTAATCGAATTAATTATTTGATTATCACCACGAAAATTTGTTACATTTCGTTGTTTAATCTTTATTTTTGTTTTTTTATTTTTTATTTTGGGGTTACTGTTGACTAATTGGGATACTAATTCAATTCGTATATATCTTTCGTACGCCTCTTTTGGTGACAATGAGTCGATGAGATTTTGAGATTGAGCGTGCTAAATCATTAGAGCATTCCAAAGTTTAGTTTTGGATATTTTGGAGTTTTGAATCATCTAGTATTCAAGCGAATGATTACCTTGAGTTTTTAGAAACTTTACATTGTAATCATATATATGGAATTTGATTTATTTTAACCTCAGTCTGGATGTTTTAAATGGAGATATGCTTGGTGTAACCGAAAAGTTAATTAAAAATGCATGAATTTTCCTTCCAATATGATTTAGTTTAGAAAAAAAAAATACAATTATGGAATTTGAATAAAATTATGCAAAAAAAAAAATTATTATTTTCAACTTGTTTAAAAAATGGGTAAACGAAATGGGTAAAAAATGGTATGCGGTTATAGTTAAATGAGTATGTGGTTATGGGTATGGGGTACCCGTTTATGCAATTACCGACGGGTAAACGGTTATGCGGAAGGACTTAAATGGTTATAGATAAATAACCGCGGTTATCCGCTCACCATAACTGTCGTCCATTCCTACTTGCAATTAGTTAAACCTCATCTTAGTGAGCCTAATATACATTTTGGTAGTTCACCATAATTTTTTGAAACGAACACAACATTTTTTTTTACTAGCCAAAATTTTTGGATTTTGGGTTCGTACCAAAGAGAAGTAGAAAACTTGTAAAAAGGAGGTCAGATGTCCGAAACCACTTTATTACTCAGCCCCCTAGTGTAAATATATACTTGTATTAAAAAAAAAAAAACTTGTAAAAATGAGGTCAAAATCCAAAATAATCCTAAGTACAAATGCACATGACTTAATTTGGATGAAAACTTAACAATGACAGAGAGATGACAAATTAATAATTTCAAAAAATTAATATAACAAGTCGCTTAAAATTTTAGTTTACTGACATTTCAAAAAAAATTCCACTACAAAAACTATGAACACAACATTCTTATTTTCGTTATTGTCGATGCCCAGCGCGACACCTAAAAGTATCCGACAAATGTGACCAAAAAAAAAAAAAGTATCCGACAAATGGATTGAGATTCTTCAACTCGGACTTTTTTCTTCTTCTACCACTTGATTTCCCCTCCAGGCAAGCACTCTTTGGGCCTAGAGACCATCCACGTTCCCCCTCTCCTCATCCTTTGACAATTATGTATTTCGTTCGTTTCGCGTGTAGTGATCATCTAGTGCAAATAATCTGCAAAGTTTCATTATATATCAAAGACAGACTCGGCAAACATCCTCAAAAACACATCATCGTGATCATACTGATCAATGCTGGATGAAAACCCGCCCATGGGCTCAGAGGACGCGAATTCCATCAGATCATCATGCAACACGAGATAATCACTGGGTAGCGAATGGTTGTGGTGGCTTGTCACCGTATGATCACTTGTTGCCTTGACGACTAGTTCTTTTTTAACTGATGATGAAGTGAAGGATGCGGGAAATGGGTGCTCTTGTTTGTTTGTAAAACAATTGACGTTGTCAAAACTAATAAACTTTGAAGAATCTCTAGGATTTGTGCAATCCAAGACCAATTCAGAAGTTTTGAGGTAGTCTCTGCAACTGTGGGTGCCATAATATGTTGTTCGAAACACTGATGGATGATCTTGAACTTGTTGCACGTGCTTGGTTGCTTTGCACGCTTGATCGTATTTGTGAGTGCATCTAAAGTAGTTCCTGCATATATATAACTATGGTCAACTTCATTTTTGAAAGTATTACCATTTTAATTATTGAAATTTCTTACAATTTTACGAGGTAAATCGTGTAAATCGCATATATGCACGTACCTTGGATGCTTGGCATTGTGGATATTTTTTTGTCCATACTTTCTCCATGCATGACCGTCGGCAATCAAAGCAGGAATGTCTCTTGTCCAAGAGTGTGAAGTCTTTCTGCAAGGAATCAACAAGTTGCAATTCTCTGTTATTAAAACTTTTAAATTATTAAATTAGGCAAAGTTCCCATCTATTTTTCATGAAACGTACTGTTAACGTTAAGTGGTAATGCTGCCATGGTAAGAAGGATAGGAATGGATATTTAGATCATTCAATACAAGGAACAATAGAAGCATCAGCATCCAAATTTTGTCAAAGTATGGCAGAACATGAACATATGAAACCAAGTGGTACAGTCTTCTCTATTTTGTCTCAATAAAAATTCTATGCATTTTTGAATAAAAAATGATAATAATATTTATTCACAGGAATCTAACAGCTGTTGTGATCTAACAGCTACTGTGAGTAACTTAATTATAATTATAGTTGTTCACACATCTACATAAATCTAACAGCTATTATGAGCAGTTAATTATAACTATTCTTATCTCACAGATGTGGATGATTAATTGGCAGAGTAAAACACTATTTACTACTGTACGTTTCATGAAATGTTTGAGATTGAACAATCAATTAATCATGCATGGAAAGAGTCTTTATCTGGAAAAAAAATCATTTTGAACAATATGTTAATGCAGATGTTGATGAGTATTACCTAGGTAGTAATTAATTAGAGAAATATAACTAATTACCTTCTCTTGTAAGAACCTCTACGATCCTTGAAGGTTGAAGTGCTCTTACAACTGATCTCCTCCTCAGTATAATCTTCAGACTTAATAACAGCTGCATGATCATGATTACCAACCCAAGATGATGAATCTGCACCACCACCACCACCACTAACATCATTACTATTTCCTTGAATCTGATCAGGAACAAACTCCTGATCAGACTCCTTCCCATTTAAAATCAGTAGGGTATTCACAAAAGACCCCAAAATCTTATTAACAGTACCCTCATCCGATCCACCATCAACACCATTAACAAGGATTGGCCTATTATCGAAAACCCTACTAAGTTGACTTGCCAGTTCACGCCCTTGGATCAACTCCTCCACCATCCTCTCCCTATTTGATAGCACACTCTCCGGCCACGACCACTGCATTAATCCTAATTTCTTGATTAACAACAAACTAATATACTGATTTTATATTGGAGAGTTTGTGGTGTGGTTGGGTTTGCTGTAGCCAAAGTGATGGATGGGAGGTGTCCTTTTATATCCGTCTAAAGGGGCTCCTCCTCGGGTTACAATTCAAGGAAGGAGAAGTGAAAGTCATGAGACAACGACACACTCCCCGCCTTTTACGTCTTTCTTTTCTTCCCACCAACGGCTGGATGAACCTCCACGTAATGCTACGAATGTTGTATGTCGTGGAAGAGGATCCTGATCCATTTTGTGGGGATTCTAGGAATCCTCACATTCTAACTGTTCATCGTACATTGTGCGATCAATTTTCGTCAGATAATATTAGTGTTTGATTTTAAATAAAAAAAAAGTCAAAGAATTTTTGACAGCATGATACAAAATGAATGACTTAGATATGAGGATTTCTAGTACCATCACAAACTGGATCCGGATGGGATCCAATTCCGTATGTCGTCATTGCATGAGGTAACCCTCGTGTCATCAGCCACTGGTTACTACTGGCTTTGTCTAGACCCTCTGGAAATTTAATCTTTTCTATTTTGCGAACTTTGTTAAACCAACAATTTAAAAGTCTCAAGTTGCTATTATTGTATTATGTTATTCTAATTAATCTTATCTCATCCCAGTTGGACCGGACAAAAACTGTTGGCCAAAATTACGATAGTATCCTTAGGGATTGTGATATGAGCCTTTGAGGTAGATTGCTACGTTATAAATGGCAAAGAGAGTGTAATTAGGGTTGTTGATAAGACGACATTAAGGTGGTAGTTGTAAGGTATAAAATATCGATGATATCAGAAATTTCGGTAGTTCAAAAATATGGAAATTTCGATGGAAATATCAGGATATTATCGATATCGATAAAAATTGAATAAAAATCACGTAAATTATAAGAAAAACTTGGAAATTTTTATTGAAACTTTGCATGATGTTTATTTAGTCAATTATCTATTAGTTTATCACAAAAAAATGGAAGGAAATGCATTGCATGATAGATATAACTGATTTAAATTAATTATATAGCGAGCTGGCAAACATTGTGAGTGTAGAAAATATGTAGTAATTAATGAAAGAAGTTTAAACGCACCATAATCATTTATATATAATGAATTAGTACAATATTTTACACTTTATACATTGCATGGTAAGATACATGAGTGACTTAGCAAGGTCTAAAATATCGATAATATCGGAAATATCGGTAGTCCAAAAACACGGAAATTTCGATGGAAATATCGAGATATTATGGATATTTTATACCATCTCCAAGGTCCTTGTTCTACGGTATCTAGTCCATCCGTGCAAGTCTAAACGTGTGGATAAGCATCATTGGAGCAAAACCTCTTTTACATTATTTTCATGATTCATATACCTTATATTAATAATTTCACATCTAAATGTGATCATATGATAGTATATAACCGTTTATTATGATTAATTAGATTTTTTTTTTATTACAATATAGTTACCAATGTATGAGGCATCCAATGGGTATCTAGTTGGAATATTCAAAGTTCATATTGTCAACGTTCAATTTTAGTAGTGCAAAATAGCAATAGAAGTAATGTTACAAGCATTTATAATAGAAGTTGTCATTTTCCCCTCCTTTAATTGGATCTCTAGTTATTAGTAATGTAATTTAATAATAGTTAGAATTGGCTCAAATACTTGTAAAATTATTGATCAAATTTCTGCTGACATATTATATATGTGAATACATTCTCATTAGAAAAATTTTAGCATTAATTTGATTTGGCGACAATGCTTACATCTATTGAACAATAACAATTCTAAAGGCAGCTGAAGTAAACACCTAACTGCCTACGTCCCCACTTCAGAGGGCCCCTAAACCTTTTTTAAAAAATATACTATATATACGATTCAAAATCAATAAAAATTATCATATTGCAATAATATAATTTTTCACAACAAAAATTTCACTTCTTTTCCTTTTCCAGCAACCACTTGTGAGTGTAACTATAGTTTTACACATGTATGGAAATCACTATATATCCTATTCACTCTAGTATTCTTTCCAACCGACAGATGCAATTAATCCAATCGTTAATTCATTTACTGAATGTAATAAGTAACATTGTAATAGTAAAAAAAATGATTAAAATTTAGCATGCTGGGTAAGAACTCCTCTTTCAGTTCGACTTGGCAAGGTGATATCATTCCCCACTTATAGGTCAAGTCACTTCTTCTCCAACTTCTTCATCCTCTTCTTTTTTCTGTAATTTAATTTGTAAGCTTGTTTGTAAATGGAATTAGGGTTTTCGAATCCATACTCCCTCTAGGGATTTTAGGATTTGAAAGATTTTAGGTATCTAGAGATTCAATCTTTTAGGGGTTTACGGATTAATCTATGGATTTAGGATTTGAAAGATTTTAGGGATTTAGGGATTCAATCTTTTAGGGGTTTATGGATTCAATTTTAGGGTATTGCCGTAATGGGTGGAATAGGTTGGTTAAGGTGGTTTGATTCTTTATTATGATGAGTCCGAACATCTGATCGTTTGTCTGATTACTTATGCTTTGCTTATATTAATATATTATATATGGGTCAGTGTTCTAAAAGGGCCTAAGCGGCTGCCTAGGCGCTGGGCGGTGGTGACCCGAGGTGTTTTCTTGCAAATCGGTTGGAAAAATCGGATGGGCTCTAGGTGGGCTAGGTGGCCCTAGGCGGCTAGGCGATTTTTTATTTTTTATTTTTTTGAAATAAAAAAAAATTTTAAATCCTATCCAGATTACTATATTTTCTTATTTTCCTCCTATTTTGCATTTTATGTATTTTGGACTTGTTGGATACTCATTTTGCTTTTTATCATTCTTTTATTATTATCTTATCCATGGATTTCATACAAGTATAATTTTTTGTAAGTGTCAATATGCACTTATTTACAAGATATACAAGAAATTTACCTAAATCTGCCTAGGTGCCCACCTAGACCCCTCCTAGCTGCCTAGGCGCTAGGCACCAGCCCACCGCCTGACTGAACCTTGATATGGGTATTGAGTGGAATTTGAGTTTTTAGTTTGTTTGTCTATCAATTTATTGTTTGCAGACTATTGAGTTGAATGTTGACAGTTGCATTTGCATCTAAAAACGCGAGACGAGTAATATATAAGTAATGTCATATATTTTTCTTCTTTTGATATTAATTTTTAATGGTATTTGACGTAGAAATAGACTTTTTCATGTTTTAGCGAATTTTTTTCTTATACATATCAATGTAAAAGGGGTCGAGTCATAGCACTCTAGGGCCCCCACTTCGAAGGCTCGCGTAGTACCCCCAAGTTCTCATGGTCGGTCCTAGTATTTAATACAATTACCATCTCGACGCTATTATATTAAATACAATTATTCACATGAATTATATCTGACCCGTCGGATGGTGATTGTATTATATACATGTAAGTATTGAAGCAATCCCCAAATTAAAAATTCACATTTAGAGTATCTCCAATTATGTTCTCTATTTTATTTTATAGCAAAGTATTAACTACAACTATCAAAAGGTTATTTTAGGAGCTCTATGTACTCCCTACTGTAGAGAGTTATAATGACTATGAGTCAATAATTAGTCGATAAAAATTATTTATTTATTTAAAATAATATTAAATTAGTTAGCATTAATTATAAAGAGCCACTAGGAGCTCTCTTTTCCTCTCTATATTTAGGAGCTCCTAAATGAATCCTATCTTAGAAGAAGGTAGATAGAGAGCATTACTAGAGAATTTTTTTTTTTTTAATTCTCCGTAAATTCTAGTTAGCTGCTCATCTAAGGAGATTAATATTTCATCTCTTAGAAACTTGAAATTAACTTGCAAGCAAAAGATAAAATTTCTTGGCAACCAAAACTCAGTTACAATTCTTGTCATGATCTTGTGAAAATATTCCTAATATCCTAGAACACTCCTTAGAATAAATTAGACAAACCCGATGTGCACCAGCTCGAGTGCTTTGTTATTCAGCCCTTGTCTTATGGGTAATTGCATCGATCTTAAGCAAGATGTGTGAACTATGTGTGGACTGCAATAACAAATTAACAACTTACTAGGTTTGTTGATGGAAAGAATAAACAATAAAAATATAATAGTAGTTAGAGCACTAGCCTCTAATGCACGCATGTGAGTTTAGACAAATGTTTGCGAGATCAAGGCAATGCAACCACGTGCATTGTCGACCCAGATGCATCTACGCATGAGTCATGACCATTGACTTACTTCAATAGTTCAATGGTTACAACTTTTGGTATGAGAGCTTAGCGCAAAGCAACGTACGTGATCTTATACAAAAATGTTAATTAAGGAGTTTACACTTTTGTATTATATATATATATATATATATATATATATATATATATATATATATATATATATTTGTGGACAATTTAACGTGACAAGTAATGTATACATGTTATGTCAATTAATGAATTTATATCATTAATTGTATATATCACTTGTCACATAAGATGGTATACCAATATAGTACAAATATGTGGTTTCTCTAGCATACTCTATCGCATAATTCTATAGTTTTCATGCCTAGTTCTCCCCAGCCCCCAAAACATGGTTAAATTGTGTGTCTGATTTATGGATGGAAGAGACTCTCCTTTGGTGAAAAAACAAAAAACAAAAAAAATAGAATTGCTTGTGGTATTCGTGTATTCTTTATGAATGTTATACAAATTATCTCTAGATTAATGTATTGGTCATTAAACAAGTACCTCTGTGGCACCCTTTGTGATAGTTGTTGTCCTTCAATAGCGATATCGCTATCACTTCTTGTAAACAAAAAAAATCCCTACTTGTGGAGGGGGAGGAGGTAGAGTGTTTCCTCCCTCCCTCCCTCCTCTTTTAGTTTTTCCATTACGTTCAGTGTCTTCCTCTTGGGTGAATAAATATTCTCTTGTAGTGATTTGATCTAAGCCATGCTCAAACATTTGGACTGAAACATTCGAATTATCAAAAAGGTATGATAGAAAGTTACCTTTCCTGGATGAAGAAACAGAAAGA